TTCCCCCATAGATGTTCCTGAGTGCATGCCGTCTCTCTCCTCCTTTATAGTCCTCCTCCGCCAATCCCAACTCGGCTGCCCACACGCCGAGTACGCTGCTCTCCTCCAATCAGGAGCAAGTCCTACAATTTATTAGTTGAACTGGAGGCAGCTGTGCAGAAGCTGTTTACTTCTCTCCCAGCGCCATATTGTGGGAGAGCAGATGCATAGAATAAGTCTTAATTCGAGTAACTTAGTCTAGTCCGGATTGCTCCCCACACTCGATATAGGGGAATTTGCATTTGTTTCCAGGACAGTCTGATCCAGTGAAGTTTAACTCCAAGCAAGGAGCCACCGGAACCCGGGTTGGCCCTGGAGGGGCCCGCATTCCTCTGGCTGCTGGAGGTGGCCCTGCCTGGAAGGCTGCTAGAGGCCGCTCCACGGTCCCACTTGGGGTCTTGGGCTTGGCTGAGCCACAGGAACAGCCTGATGAGAGGGAGGGAGGTACATGTGGGAGTGCAACATCGCACGTGTCTACTCTGTCTGCCTCTACCGGGCCGTGTATTGGCTGGGAGGCGTGAGCACCTGCCTGGGTCGCCCTCCGGGCCCCAGTCTGCACACAGGGCCGAGCAATGGCTGTTGAACTCTGTTCTGAACTTGCCTCTGGGGTATAATTATTGTGCTTCCCTGCCAACCCTCATACAAGTTCAACCCGCCGATCCCCACCACCCACATCCACCCAAGCCAGAAAACAAAGCCCGAATCCAGGCTCCCTCGCCCCACTGTTGTTGTTGTGTATTGTGTGTTGCTGTGTGGTTGTAAGCAACCAAATATCCCCATTAACAAATCTCTCACATTTGCTCTTTAGAGAAGTAAGGCATTTTTTTCCTCCCGAAAGCTCTCCCTTCATTAATGCAGTCTGTGGTTCTAATTAATTTTTTACACTGTATGCACTAAAGCTCCTTTACTAAGTATTTTTGCAAATCCTTTCGACACTGTGGAATCAAATCTTCTCACTCTTGCCTCCCTTTCCCCTTTGACTCCACAAATGCACACATAATACGAACACACGGACGTGCCTGGAAACTAAACATGCCAACTGGCGAGGCGGGGCAGCTCTGGGGTAGCACTGGCAGAGAAGGGGCCGGGGAGGAGCCGGGGCCCCGGGGAAGCTGGGAGGATGCTCTCCTCGGGACCTTGCCAGCTTCACCGACGCCCACCTGCTCCCCCAGGGCTCCTGGCAAGAATGAGAGTCCGTGCAGTCAGAGGAGCCCGGGAGAGGCCCATCATCTCCTCCTTCATTTCCGGCTGCTGCCTGGCTGCTGTCAGTCACCCACCCCTGGGCGCTGGTTTCCTCCATTGTCATGCAAAGCGTGTACGGAGGCTGCCAAGTCACGCTGGGCAGCCAGTGCCAGGAAAGGCTCAACAGAGGATGCCCGATGGATGGGATCTGATTCTGACCTCAGGAGGGATTCTGCCGGTCAGGTGCCAGGGTAAGCTACACTGAGGCCTTTGAACAACAGAAAGCAACCGCCCCACGGCTCCAGTCGGCTCGGCCCCCTGCGTCCGTCTGGTGGGACTGAGGTGGGGTAGGGCCGACCACAGAGACAGCAGCCGGGCCTGAAACAGCCTCTCGGGCAGGCTGCCAGGGGTTCACGGCTCAACAGATCCTCGCTCACACGCACCGTGCATCCAATCATTGCAGCCTTTTCCCATCTCACCAAGGCATGCCCATCAGCTCTTGAAATTGAGCCAGATGAAAGCAACTATTTGTTTTTATAACAGGTTTGGCGGCCAGCTAGAGGCACCGCTGCATCGTGGCTTCTGTCCCTGGGGAATGCAGCTTGCGCTCTGGGCGGGGACGGCCTCAGCCTGGGCTCCCAGCGAAAGCCGCCTTCCCTTGGGCAACAGGCACTCTGTTTTTGTCTAAGGTATTGAGCAAGTTATGACATTGCAGCATCAACACAGAGGAACGTTTAGGGGAGCCGAAAGGGAGCACTGGAGCTCTGAAGAGGAAAACTCACTACCAGCATAGGCTGGGGTTTGCAGAGTGGGGAAGGAGAGGCCACGCGGACACAGGTGTGGGAGTTCGGAGACAGACAGACGGAAGCGGGCCCTTTGGGAGCACCTCCCTGCCAACTGGGATTTCATCCAGGGACCAAGTCCCCGTCTTGCTCCTCTCGGGCAAAGCTGCGGCGGAGGCACCGACTTCCCCGGCCCCAGTCTCCATCTCTGTGAGATTCGTGTTGGAGCAGACCTGCCCCAGCAGCCTGCTGCCTCCACTCCCTGGACCCTGTCCATGTCTGCCGCGGGCACTGCAGGAAGGGGAGTCCACCGCCCACAGATGGGCACTTAGAAGACCCTCCTGTGCCTGCATTCCCATTCCTGGCCCCAACTCTTAGCCTATGGCTCCAGAAAGCACGTGCTTCCAACTCTCCACCAGGGAGGACGTCAGACACCAGTGCACAAGGTGCAACACACGCTCAAGTGTTCGGACAAAGCCATAGAACATGTGTGTGTGTGTGTGGGGGGGTGAATACAGCCTCGCCCACTTCACCTTGAACTAAACAGGATAAATATTAAGTAAACAAAAATGTGTAGTTACTCTACAAAATATGCAGTGGCATGGGGGAGGAAAATAAGTATATACTGGAAATATGCAACCCTCGGCCCCTTGGGCTTAGGCTGGACATTATTCAGATAACGATGCAAAGACGCATGCGCACAGGCTGCCACAAAGGCTGCTTGCGCCCTGCACGGAGCTACCCTGGTGCATGGGCCTCCACAGGTGCCCGGGGAGCTTACCTGTCTGCTGTCATTTTCCCGGCAGCCCTGCAGCTTTATAAGAGAGCCAGGCGCCCTGTCCACCACAGTAAGGCACAAGTCCATGTGCTTCACCGACTTCTCCTTCGTCAAGGCCCACTCCTGGAACAAAGAACGGGGAATCAGGGCTAGGCCACGCAGGGCTGTGAGATTAAGCAAAGGAAGTCGGTCAGGGGCCTAGAAGGGAAACAGGTTGAGCTGGGGAACCAAGTTCAGCGCCTCTGAGCCAGCGGAGAGCCAGAAAGTGACTTTCCGCCTGAGGGCAGAGGACACGGCCGGCCGGGAGCTTCCCCAGGGGGCGGCGAGCCGTGCGGAAGTGCACTGGGGCGCTCCGTAGCTGCGCTAACAGTGAGTAGCTCGCCCTGAATGCAGCTTAGTCCAAGCTTGGTCCCGCACGAGGCAGACAGCTCAGGGTCCGGCGTCCCGCCTGCACTGTTCCACAAGGCCTGCCCCCGCGCAGGCATGGCTTGGAAGCAGCATCTGCGAATCTAACGGCAATGTGCGAAAATGATGAACGACAAACTGCATAGTTAAACTGAAAAATTAGGTGGTCAGAATCGAGCCCTAACTCGATCTACTGACACTCCCGATGCTCTCTGGAACTCGGAGGAAGGGACCCACGGGTTTGTGCAGACACAGTACACGCAGCTAGAGGTAGCTGAGCGCTGACTGTGTGCCAAGTGCATTTACAACACCCCTGTGAGGGCCTAATATTATTATTCTCATTTTACAAATGAGAAAACAGAGCCAGGGAGTGCTTACATAACTGGTTCCTGATTTAAAAACACAATTTATTTATTTATTTATTTAATTTTATTTTATTTATGTGGGAGGCAGGAAGAAGGAGAGGGGGAAGAGAGGGAGAGAGTGAGCAAGCGAGCGAGTGAATGAATCCCATCTGCTGGCTCGCTCCCCAAATGCCTACAACAGCTGGGACTGGGTCAGGCCGAAGCTGGGGGCTGGGGAGCCAGATCCTGATCTCCCATGTGGGTGACCGGAAACCCTGGGCCATCACCACTGCATCGGCAGAAAGCTAGAATTCAGAGTGCAGCCAGGACTCTAATCCGGGAACCTGAACCCAGACACTCCAGCATGGCTCTCGGGAGTCTTACCCGGTGAAGGAAGCCCTGCACCAAACGCCCGCGCCGCCTGCCCACGATGTTCAACACTACAGACATACACATTTATGAGTGCCCATGCACGGGCACACGCAGGCCCTGGGCCTGCCCGCAGGCACCCTCCTCCCCCAGCAGGGAGATGTGGGCAGGTGCACTGCCTCCCTGGCCTTAACTTCCTCACCTTTTAATTATGTGTTTTGCTAATTTTCCTCTGTAAGGAAGTGAGAAACTGGCTCTAGGTCAAATAAATACCAGGGATCAGTGTCTTGAACACTCATAGCATACTCGATTAGGGTTCTGACAGGTCCTAGAGCGGAAGGGACGCCGGCCCGTTCTTTGCGGCATCGTAGGCTCATGTCCTGTGCACACAGAGGCCCAGCCCGACCTGCCCGGCCAGGCACTCTGGGCACCAGCTACCTGCAGGCTGCCTTCCGGGAAAGGCTACACAAGGGACCCCCACTCCGCCAGGACTGTCGCTCTTCTCAGGCACCCGCAGGCGTGGAGTGGACCCCCCCACGCCGCAGGACAGCGCAACGCAGCATCAGGTGTGTGCCTGCTCCCCGCCTGCACAGGGGCAAGGCAGCAAAGACCCTGGTCACCTCCCGGGCTACCCTAGTGCTAGGTACCATCTTGCGTTCTTGTCTTTGGCCTTGGCTGACACAGAGCTGAGATCTTCCTCAGCCACAGCAGCGCCTTCTGTTCTAAGGGGCTCCCAGGTGGAGTCCAGGCTCCATACAGACCAGGCTCTGATTAATCAGAAGCTTAGAACTTCCAGCCCTACTCCCACCCCTCAGGATGGGGAGATGGGCTAGAGATTAAGCTAAAGACCAGCCATGCCGCACACATCTGAGTTATGGGGCTTGGGCAGCTTCTGGATTGGCGGACACCCAGAGGTTCTGAGAGCGTAAGAGGCAAGAAGGCTCTTCCAGCCCGCCTCCCCCACTGCGCCCTACACCCTGTTCAATCTTCCATCCGGCTGGCCCTGAGCTGTAGCTTCTTGCAGCAGCAAGTAACCTGGCAAGGAAACTGCTGCCCGTGAACGCTTCTACCAAATGATGACGTCTGAGGGGGCGGGTGGGAAGTACAGGTGACAAGCTGGACTTGAGCTTGGCCTTGGCAGAAGAGGGTGGCAGTGTGTGGGGGTGGAGCGGGGGATGCTTGTAAACTGAGCCCATATCCTGTGTGTCTGAGCAAACTCAGAGCAGTCGGTGTCAGGACTGAATTAAACTGTGGGTGCCTGTAGGTGCTGGGGAGCGACACATGTGTCACCAGCACACTCCTGGATGTGAGTATAGAGTATTCGCTTGGCTGCAGCGGGTGCTGCGGGTGCTGAGGAGAGACCGAAGCCATGTGGCGTCTCCCTGCAAACAGCCGGCACTCTGATGCAGAGGTCCAGGGAGAGGCTCGTCCCTACTGCCTGCCATTCACACATAGGTGCCGACCACTCCTGCGGTACGGAGGTGCCCACTCCCAGCTCGGAGGAGCCCCGGTGGGACGGCCTTGCTGTGGAGCAGGGTTTTGGACCTCCTGGGCAGCAGGTGCCGGAAGATGTCGGAAGGTTTGCTGACACCGACTTAAAGATCGTGTCTGAATGTTCTGCAGCTTTCTTGCTATTGTGTGCTTAATTATTTTAAAGCAGACTCTACACTGAAATCCAGAAAAACTAATTCAGCTATGCAAACAACAGAGCTCATTTTGTTCTTCTGTTGCATTTCAATTATCTGAATTTGTAAAACACGGTTCATAAATATTTAAGAAATGCTTTTTTTGAGCTGCCACTCTTAAAAAGCACGGCCATTAATTTTCCCACTTCCTATGTGTCTGCTGAGGCTCGGCCAGAAACCAGGCAACAAACCTCACTCCTGCAGGGTGCCGGGCCCAATCTGCAGTTAGGAAATCTTATCTGCCCTCTCAGGTCTCATGCACGTGCCACGCTACCCCAAAACACACTACATCCCATCAGTTCCCAAAGACTGACTCCGGGGGCAGGGCAGGGGGCTCAGGAGTAGGAACACACAGCTGCACACGTGATCTCTGGCTTCCGTTGCCTCCAGTTCATGCTAACACGTTAGCCAACGGCCACATGCAGTGGTTTACACTCACTGAATTAGAATGATGTCTACGATTACCATGTGGGCCTGGCCCATCAAGCTTTCACTTCCATGTGTCTTTTCCAATGAAGACAGAAGGGGGTAGATTGCTGAGCCTCCAGGGAAAGGCATGCGTGTGACTGAAGCAGCTGACAGTTAACATTTTACAACCTGGATGACCATTATCTAACAGGAAGAAGTGTACAACAGTGACACTAGCAGTAGCTGTACTGTGCCCCTGTGGAGAAGTACCTATTAAGCAGGGACACCAGTTCAGGCGTTAGCATCACACTCAAGTCCAGAAGGAGACGTGGGTGCTTTTGGAGCAAGCACATGGCAGGAGAGACACAGCTGGCAGAGAGAAGACCAAGTCTACCAGCACTGCCAACATGCTGGGGGCAACAGATGCTAACTTTGATCAGTGTGCCCTTTGCCACTGTAGTATTGTCAGCTGATGTCGCCTCTGACGCGTCAGTCAAGGCCTGTGACAGCCCACAGTCCCCCACCGAGAGGCTGCGATCAGCAGGAGCCCAGAGCTTCCTCACATGCACTTCTGTCCCGAGGACAGGTGGCAGCCAGGCCTCCTACACTCCAGACCGCATCTGCATCTGGTCTGGGCCTGCAGGTGCTCAGGCTCACTCAGATACGTACCTGGTTTCCCCCAGCATTGTGACACTCGTAGACCCCAACAACACCGTCAGCAAAGTGTCCTAAAGTGTCGAGGCAGTTGGTCCCCTGCTGCAAGGCTCCAAACGCGATATCCTGATGGTCTGGGACCCTGGAAGGCAACACGAGGGTCTCGAGTCGTTCCTAGGACCCTCTGCTCCCGCCCACCTGTCCGCTTGCTTGGTGACTCCACCCCAGGCGGCAGGAGGGCACGGAGCTCCTCCCTGCCACTGCAGGCTGCCTCGGCGACACGGCACGTCTGCGAGTCTCAGGGTTGCTAACTCTGAAGACTACACTGGAGCCACGCAGGCTTCGTGTTCTCTACCAGGGACATTTTTCTGGCAAGGAACAGCCCATTAACTCTTCAGTGCTAGTCGGATGGAAGTCATTCACAGCCATGGAGAAAATCAGGGTGGGCGGCCCCTGTCTCCTGGGATGCTCCGCTCTGTTCAGGGGAAGCTGTGAGTGACCTGCTACAAAGAGAGTGTCAGTGCCAGCGCCAGAGCGGGGACAGCAACCGGCTTTGAGTGAGACCTGCTCCCGAGCTCCAACCCTCGCCACGTTCCCGCGTGTGTGCTCATGTGGGTAGGACCTGCTCTAGGCCTCTTCTGTCTGGCACTGAGCAAGCAGGTGTGTGCTCCATAAAGCAACCCCCTGCAGAGCGACAAGCCCGGTACGTGGCCTCCAAGAAGCGCAAAGCCGCTGCACCAGGTGCCTCCCAGGTGGTCCTGGGTGGGTGCAGGGCGTGAGGCCACCCCCACTCGGAGTTTTCACCGTCACTCCCACACACCAGGGAGCAGGCAATCATGACAGCAAAAACAGAGGGGGGCCCGGTAGGGTTAAAATCTACTGCTGAGAAGCCCCTCCAGGTGTGTGGGGCCGGGGTGACAGGGCTTGGTCCTGGCCACAAGCACTGTTCCTAATCCCTGGGGAGAGCCGTTCTCCATGGAGGGGACCCGAGGGAGAGGACAGGGTGTCCTCTGCCCTGTCCTGGGGGATGTGGGCTGCCGGCCGGCTCATCTATCATTTTGAAAGCATAGCAAATGGTTCCCAGGAGACGCAGGTAGGTGCATCTCCACCTCTCAAACAACCTTCGGCGACGGCGGCCACTCCTGCGCTCACAGCGCCCCTGCTGGAGATGGGGCAGTCGCTTTAAGTGCCCTGGGAGTGTCGAGGGTAAGAAACGCGCTGCATTAAGGCAGAGCCTGTCTGAGGGCCCCTTGAAGAAGCTGGAGTTTTGCTGGCTCCCACAAACGAGCAGCTCTGTGAGTCTTCAGCTGGGGTGATGGGGTTCCGCAGGATGGGGCGGGGCTCACGTTTGCTTACACCCGAGGCCTGGGGCAGAACTAAAGCTCCGGGGAGGGCTTCCGCCATCATCAATCCCTGGGCCGGAGGGAAGCAGGCATGGTGCCGGCGCTAGAGCTAGCCAGGGAAGAGGCACCGAGGTGGCATCCCTGGGCCCGGAGCCCCGCTGGTCCACAGGCAGTACAGCGGTGCTCTGAACGTGGAGGCGGTGGGAGCGGTGGGGCTGCTTTACCTTCTGTCTCTTGCTGTCCCACCCCCTCAACCCAGGGCCCCAAGCCTGCAGCCTCCTGAGGCTATAAACACACAGAAGGCGGGAGGGGGCCCCCGGGCGAGGACCCCTGGCCTGCAGAGACAGAGGCAGGTGGCAGGGAGCGCTCCTCTGGCACCGGCAGAGCCTGTGATGCAGTCGTCCCCTGGGTCCCCTGGCTCGACCTCTTACTGGTGGGGAACGACCTAAAGTGAGATAACACCGTGGGGTTGCTTCCTGGGTGATGAAGGCCGGAAGGGGAACGGCAGGAGAGGGGGCAGGACGGTCCCAGAGAGGCCGGGGGACGGCCATGGGCCAAGGAGGGGAGCTCTCGCTGAGTGTCCTGGCTCCAGGCCTGCCTCCGAGGCTCGACCTTCATCTCCCCTCTCCCTGCCTCCGCAGTCCCTCTGATCTTTGCTTCTGAGCTCTTACAAAGCAAAACTCTGGGTCCCTGGGCGCTTACCTTAATTCCGGATAGACGTTTTCAAGGTACCACTTGAAAGGCTTGCAGCTGAGTTTCTTCCGAAGCTCCAGTCTGCTCTGAATACTGGGGAGGGGAGGGGTGGTGGTGAGGCCTTTACAAATCGTATGAACAGATAGGCTCTCCACCCCAAATCTGAAAACCCATGATGCAAACGGGGCCAGGGCAGGTCGGGTAGTACCCGCTGTCCCGGCACGGGGCCCGGCGCCCCCTCCCAGCCTTGCACAGGGGCTCTGGCTGACACCCCACCAGCCGTGTTCTGCTCTGGCCACGGGGCCCCAGGGCACTTACTTCCCGTAAGGAACATTTCTGGCGGAAGGCACGGCTGCGTAATAGAAATTTTTGTATTCGTCCATCCAGACCTCTGCCGCCCGGCGGGTGTTGCTACAGACAAAACAGAATCTTGAGGTGTGAGCTGCTTTTTGACAGCGTCACTGTGCACTTGTCTGCTCAGAGTACGACCAAGGGAGGCACCTGCAGGTACACGGGGCAGCGAGAGCCACTGCCCCCCTCCCCGCCCCAGTTTCTGGGTGCCTGGTCACAACCCACAGGACTGCTTTCTCACCTTTCATTGCACAGAGCCTATCAAAAAGCCGAAGTCAAAGGCAGTGTCACAGTACCGACTGGTACTTTTAGTTTTGCTTTGTTTTTAAAGATTTATTTATCTATTTGAAAGGCAGAGTTACAGAGAGAGGGAGAGACAGAGAGAGAGAGACAGAGAGAGAGATATTTTTCATCTGCTGGTTCACTTCCCAAATGGCCACAACAACCGAAGCTGGGCTGGTGAGAAGCCAGGTGCTTCTCCTGGTCTCCCATGGGGTGCAGGGCCCAAGCACCTGGGCCATCCTCCACTGCACTCCCTGGCCATAGCAGAGAGCTGGCCTGGAAGAGGGGCAACCAGGACAGAATCCGGCGCTCCGACCGGGACTAGAACCCGGTGTGCCAGCGCCGCTAGGTGGAGGATTAGCCTATTGAGCTGCGGCCCCGGCCCCAGGTGCTGTTTTAAAGAACAGCTTGCCTTGTACCACGCAGGAGGACAAAAGAGAGTCGCTTGGGGACAATTCATATTACGCATCCACAGAGGGCCAGTCTTGGTCTCTCTGGCCTCTCTAGGGCCATGGCGCTACCACCACCAGGCAGCTCTGGGGGAAGTTAAGATGAGATAAGAGCTGCTGTTCTTGCGTTGTCTTCTGCAGCCCTGAGCTGAGAGCCTAGGGACAGTGGCATGAGGGGCTGGGAGCGTCACGGCCATGCCTGGGGTTCCTACGGCTTGAGGGCACAGGCAGAGTGGGGTTTCCTAGGAGGGAGCGGAGCCACATCCCTAACTCACACACTCACGGAGGGATCCCCGAGCCACGATGAACAGGGCCCTGGGACACGTCAGTGTTGAAGGTCGGACAAACATGAAAGGCTACCGAGCTGGGTAGCCGTCAGCAGCATACCCTGCCAACGGTTCTTTTTAAAGCGTCCGGGAAGCAGTGTTAACACAGCGACCCTCTTTGCTCTCCTGTCCTGAACCCACTTCCGAGGAAGGCCTACGGTGAACCCTCACGTGGGACATGCTGTTCTTGCACAATAAATACGCTGGGGAGGCGACGTGCCCTCTGCTCTCCCAGCAGCACCCTTGAATGGCGAGCCCTTCAAATGATCGGAGCTAGACCAATGAACGTGATTTCTGTGAGAGGCCGCTATCTTTCCTATAAAGTGACGTGTGCATCTTCTTCCTCTTACTGAAGTGGGCCATGGACGGTCAGAACGCCACTGAGGAGACAGGCAAGACAATACGCATGCACGGATGCTCTGACCCAGCAGTTTCACTTCCAGAAATTTACCTCAAGGAAATGATCCACCGGGAGTGAAAATATATGTGAAAATATGCTCACTTCAGCACTGTTCATAATGGCAAAAAAAAAAAAAAAAGAAATCAGAAATCAGAAACACATGTGGCCAAACACACAGGGAAGTGATCAAATAAACCAGCTTCAGGTGAGCTCTGTGGTCACAAAAACTGCAGGTGTACGTCTTACGTCGTCCTTGACTCGATGTTGGATGAAAGACAGACTACAGGCCAGCACACAGTGGATACGTGGTGGGGGGAGGAAGGTACAGAGCAAGGGAGCGAGGGAGAGAGACTGAGAGGCTGAGACATCAGATTACAAAAGTACCAGGGCACAATGTGGTTTAACCATGAGACCAGTAATTTCTTGCTTTTTCTGTATGAGAAAACACATAAATATAACCATGAGTACTGGGAGTGCTGGGGACACTGGTTCTCAAGGGTTATTTCTCAGGAGAGCCATTCCATACTCCTAGAGGCACCCTGGGGTCTTGCTGAGTGACCCTGCCTTAACCTGTGCTCTCCCGAGGTGTGACTACAGCCCTCTGGCACTGGCTTTCTCCAGCAGGAGGATGCTGGATTCAGTTCAAGGACACTGCTCCAAGTCCCTTGCAGCCCTAACAGTTTAAAGGTTTTGTGAATTCCAGCCATACAGTGTTTTGCAATTGCTTAAGTCCTTCAATGATTAAGTCATTTCTTAATTAATCACTAAATGCAAAACAACCTATTCTGTCTACTGACTAGAGAAAGATGATCAAGGTAGCCTCAAAGCACGAGCTTCATGTGCTACTTAGTGCTGGTTTCGCTTGTTCATTCACTGGGGTATTAACTCGACACCTATTATACCGCAGTCTTCTTGATGTGACAAATACAGGAACACCTGGGATGCAGCAGGTAATGGCTCAAGTACTGGGGTCCGTCCCATCCATGTGGGAGACTCAGATGGAGTTACTGGATCCTGGCTTTGGCCAGGCCCCGCAATGACTGTTGTGGGCATTTGGGGGAGTGAACCAGGGGATAGAAGAGATCACTCTTTCTGTCTCTCCCTCTCCCTGTCATTCTGCCTTTCAAATAAATCAATCAATACATGAAAAAGATAAGTTAGTAATCATCCCCATTCTCCACCCCAAAGCTTTCCCATTTGAGGAGGGCACCCCATCAGCACCTGTGTGACAAACAGCTGGGTGTGACCCTTAATTCCTTGTTTCACCTCCCTGGTCTCTGCCACCCATGAGTAATCACAGGGATGGGTGCTGGTCCCAACTCTGTTGTCATATACCTGCTCCAGGAGCCCCCTCTGTGGCCTGGGCTACCGTAACAGGGCTCAGAGGTCCCCTGGTGGAACAGGCACACGCAACACTGCTTTATCATGGTGTCTTCTCCTAGCACCTCCGCCCAGCAGGACCTTTCTGAGGCTTTAAGCAGAGAAGTCAGGCCCCCGTTTAAAACCCCCAATGGCTTCCCTGTGCCATCAAACAACATCCAAGGTTTCCCAAGACCTCAGGGGTACAGCCTCAGGCCTGCCTAACTCTTCCCACATCTGCCACTGTCCCCTCGTTCCCTGGGCTCCTGTCACCTTGGCTTCCTTGTGGTCCTGGGGTGTGGACGTGCCAACCTGCCCCTTGTGTCAGCAGCCTGGACCTGCCTCTGCTGCAGGGACCCTCACTACTGCCAGGTCTAAGCTCTCACACCTGCTCCTCGGCCCCTCCACGAGCTCGCGCCCCTGCCTGTCCAGGTCTACGCACTTTCTTCCTCACAGCATACAGTAGTTCAGTCTTTGAAACCATGTCCTTTGCTGTGTGTTTCACTGTTGACCCCCTGGGAAAAGGGAACCTCCCCAAGGTCGGTTTGTACACTGTTCTATCTTTAGCAACCAAAAGAATTCCCTAGGAAAAAAATCTGATGTGATGGAATGGCCATCTGCGATTCTTCTCCAGAAAGTTCGTCGCGTTTTCGAAAACCTGCCTATGTTCTATCATGAATTCTATCCACACGTCACGGTCTCTCTGGGTATGACTTGATTTTAATATCTGCCATAGTTTGAGAGCTGAAACTCAGGCTGAAATGCAGAGGCTGTGATAACAAACTGCCAGTGTTAGGAGGTGGTTAGGCGTGCGGGCTCCGCTCTCAAAGGTGGAGCGGGTACCACGGAGAAGGGCAGGCTGGCTGGCTGCCGCTTGTCCTCTCTCACCCTTTCCGCCCTGAGGTGCAGCAGGGTGGCCTTCGTCAGGTGCCCGCACCTCCACACTGCACGTTCCAGTCTCCAGAGCTGTGTACGCTTCTGTTCCTTCTAAATCACCCACTCCGTGGTATACTGCTCCAACAGTCCAAGGCTATATAATCTTTAACTGTGCCTCGGGTAGTAAATACATAAACTGTTCTTCTCTTGGGATGGCTTATGGTGCCGTGGGTTAAGCCACAACCTGTGATGCCACCATCCCATTCTGGAGGGCCAGGTTGTGTCCTCGCTGCTCCGGTTCCAATCCAGCTCCTTGCTAATGCACTTGGGGAGGCAGCAGAAGATGGCCCAGGGCTAGGGCCCCTGCCACCTATGTGGGAGAGCAGCCTAGCCCAGCCCAGTCTGTTGCAGCCATCTGGGGAGTGAACCAGTGGATGGAAGATCCGCAGACGGAACAGAGCTGCCCCCCAAATGCTCTGGAACTGCCCCCTCCCGTCAGTCTCCCCAACCCCAGCCTTGGCTGCTACTGCTCACTGTCACTAGGGACTCACCGCAGTGCCCTGGAGAGGGGCCCGTACGACCGCGTCAACAGCCTGCTCCCCTTAACTGTGAGTGCAATCTGTTGTACGAACACAGCACTCCTGTTAAAGGACACCTGTTCCCACACGGCCTGAGGTCCAGGCCTGTCTCAGAGGCAGGCAGTCGCGTCCCGGTCCCTGCTCACCCCTTCACTACTCACCGCGCGAAGACGGTGCCGCTGCCGCCCGGGAACGTGTAGGGGTGCTGCTTCCGGAACACGTGTCCCACGCGGCTACACGGGATGATCTCCAGGCTGCCACCGCACTGCCACACGCGGAACGAGATCTCTGGGATGGTGGAGGAGACACAGGTGACCCAGAGAGTCGGGGGCAGCTCTGCACCGGCCCGTGGGGACCTGCTAAGGGACTGGCTCCTTCCAGGGTATGGTCCAGAGCTGTCCACAGGGGGCATATCCGGCACACCTTGGATCTTCAGGGTAATGCAGAACTCTCTCCCGGGGGTTAAAAATTCCAAGGCCTTTCCTGTCCAAATGCCTTCTTCAACCCAAACCCTGCCTAGAGGGCAGTGCGTCACCAAAAGCCCTTAAAGAGTGCCGTGACACAGCCTAAAGCAGCTTCCTGGCAAAGGGCCTCTGGAGCAGAGACACCACCTCTGACTGTGACACCTTAGAATAATGGACAAAGTCGGGGCTGGCGCTGTGGTGCAGTGAGTTAAGCCCCAGCCTGCAGCGCTGACTTCCCATATGAGCGCTGGTTCAAGTCCCGGCTACTGCACTTCCGATCCAGCTCTCTGCTATGGCCTGGGAAAGCAGTAGAAGATGGCCCAAGTCCTTGGGTCCCTGCACCCATGTGGGAGTCCCAGAAGAAGCTCCTGGCTCCTGGCTTCAGATGAGCTCAGCTCTGGCCGTTGCGGTCATTTGGGGATTGAACCAGTGAAATGGAAGACCTCTTTCTGTAACTCTTTCAAATAAATAAAATAATTCTCTCTCTAAAAAAAAAAAAAGAAGAAGGAGAAGGAGAAGGAGAAGGAGAAGGAGAAGGAGAAGGAGAAGAAGAAGAAGAAGAAGAAGAAGAAGAAGAATGGACAAAGTAACAGGTGGCCCAGTCTTTGATTTGAGACAAAATAAAAAAATGACCATGGCCTCTGTTGTAAGTAAAAAGTTCTCAGAATGACAAGGGGCCTCAGTTTCCTCCCCTGTCCCCCCGGGATTCCCTCCCCCAAGGATAAAAGCCATTGAACATCGTTCAACAGACAGGAGGGGCGGCTCAGGACCCGAAAGTCAAGGCTTCCCGAGAAACAAGCCAAAAGAAATCACGAGCCCTGAAAAAAACGAACCAAGCAGACAAAATACGAGCGTCCTCCTGTCTTTCACGCAGTGAAAAGGAGGGAGCTACCTTTGTAGACTACAGTCTGTAACATTTCATTGCTCCTAAACCTGGGTAGAAATGAGGTCCATGGTTATTAAAAAAGAAATTAGGCCACATTAGAGCCATTCATGAAAATCATCACGAAGGGGTTAATTGCCAAGGCCTCCTCCACCCAGTCTGACTTCCCAGATTACAATACAGTCCACCCCCAGCCTCCAACAGCTCACTCTCGCTCTGCCTGGCTGGAGGCACCAGGGTTGTTTCCCTCATCCCTGCAGGTCTGCATTCCAAACCCCTGGATCCTCGGCCTCTCCCTTTAAGGACTTTCTCTGTCTTCTGGCATGCTGTGTGCTAACAAACAGGCACACGTTCTGTGACTGACGCAAGGCGCTCCCAGGAGTGTGTGGGTGCTGTGTGCACACACGGAGGTCTAAAGTTCTCCTCCCCGGGCACCCTGCCCTGCCCTAGCTGCCCGCCACGAGCGGGATACGTACCCAGGTTCTCTCCACCCCACACGTCCATCATCATGTCGTACTTCCCCAGCTCCTCGAAGTAGAACTTGTCCATCACGAACAGCCCACCGGCGATCATGGGTGTTCTGGAGAGGCGGGAAGAGAGGGGGAAGAGACGGTTGCACCCTTCGCCAAAGCCAAGCCCCAGCTGACCTCCAGGACGCTGCACATGGCCTTGTTCCGGGCCCTGAGCCCTGGGTGCCTCTGTCTGCCTCACTATTTCTGCCTTCAGTGTCTCCCCCTGGCTTTGCCTGAGCTGTCCCACAGTGCCCGGGGCTGGCCTGAACCTCCCCTGGGAGGGCCTCACCGTGGCCGCTGGGGCCTCTTGCTGACTCTGGGACTCTGCCTTTTTATGTCTCAGTCCCCTTATAGGGTAATTAAAGAAACCACCAAAAATCACACACACACACACACACACACACACACACGGCTCCTAGCACACTCAGGAGGTGCTTGGAAGCATCAGTTCCAATAGTCACTGTCACGGGTCGGCCTTCTCCTCCCTAAGGGGGGACCCGGCCCTGGGCAGGAGTGCACCCTGGGGCATTTCTGAGCCCCCGACTTGGTTCCCAGGGCAGATACTACGAGAATTGAGTGGGGAGTGCTGGTGGCTCTAAGCGGTGAAGTGCCAGGCAACGTCTTTCAGGGTTTGGTGCTTGGCAGGAGCCATCTGCATGAACTGGGTGTCCCCCGTGCCCTCTCAGCCTGAGAAGGCGATCCCAACTCCCAGCCAGGATCCCCTGTGCAGCCTGGAAGTCTTGGAGCACACGGGAGCTCGTCTGTGGGCCTACGAGGAGTTGACACCTGCCTGGGGGTTGGGGGAGTGACCAGGAAGGGGAGGCGGCAGCAGGACCCACGCTGGCCCACTGTCCCCTCTTCCAGGAAGTCCCTGAGATCAACCTGGAGCCCCTATTCTGCTACAGGAACCATACATCAAACAAGAAGGGACATACAGAACTGGCAGATTTGCCTCATAAATATCCACCAGACTTCACCTGGGAAAAAGATACCTCAGTGGACATTATTCTATGATCTGGTGCACAGGTACCTGCCCTTGAGCTAAGATGACAGAAGATGGCAGGGCAGGAGGTGAAGGGCCTGGCTAGGTCTCCAGGTAACACAGGCCCTGCAGCAGGGCCAGAGGCAGCTCTCACCTGCAAGGGGCTCCCCAGGGGCCGGCCAGCACTTACTTTATGGGGGCAACGGGGTTTCCTTGCCGGGACCTTCTCTGTTCAGGTGTCATGTAATCCCACTTGAACACCAAGTTCCAATCAAAACCTGCCGGCCGGGAAGAGAAAGCAGGGTGCTGACAAGGGGCTGGCTCCTGCCACCCAGCCCGCCCCAGTGGAAAACATTTGGCGTCTGGATGAGGCTGATTGAAAACCAAAATGAAGCAAAAAGATGGAGAGGATATGAAGGAGACAGTCAGCACCTGAGAGGTGGTGTTGGGGGAGAGAGGTGGGTGGGTAAGGCGTCCATTAAAATCTTCGCCCTGCCAGCCCCCAGAAAGAAAATCAGGGTGGGCCTTTTCTGATATCCAGGTGCAGAAGCAAAAATGTAGCATGCACAGAGCGCCGGGGTGTGTGCTGGAGCACCACTGCACATCCAAGGGCTCTAAGAAGGCAGAGGAAAGAGTGACCAAGAAGACCGCTGGCCACCTCCTCCAGTGCTGCCCTGCAATGGGAATGCAGCAGAGGGCACAGGGGTCATGGGTTCCCTGGGTCAGCAAACTTGATCTTGGCAGTCTCTCTCACTTGCATGAGAAATTGTATTTGTGGCAAGAACAAGGTGGGGACAAGGAAGACATGTGAAAACCCTCAGATGAAAATGAGCGGGGGGAGTCGCCAAACTGGACAAACAAAAATTTGGCTCCTGCCCCGTTTCAGTTTTAGGGCCCACAGACCACTCAGGGTCTGGACCCAGTCTTGGTTTCGGGCGTTTGCAGGGCCCCAGCAGTAGGGTCTGCTCTGTGCTTCCCAGAGAACCGGCAGCACTCGGAGCTCCACCTGCTGCGGCTCTCCAAGCACATCCAGAGACCCCCTTTCTCAGGGAGCTTGTGGCTCCAGCCGCTGCACTTCCAGCCAAACCTAATCACTCCAGGCCACTTACCTTTCAGCCCTGCGCCAGCAGGTTAAGCTCTCTGCCAGCCGGCGTTTTGTCAACAGGGCTCTCGCAAGGCCACGTTTGATTTCTCATCTGCGTGCTCGGAATTCAGGGTTCGTCTGCCCTGGTGGCCTCCGTGCCGAGGGCTCCTGGGCCAGCTCAGCAAGCCTGACCAGAGGCTTTGGGACACAAAGATCTCTCAGCTGTCTCTCAACAGGGTAGGGGGCAGGCTCAGCAAGAGGGCACTGACAGCAACACACAGAAGGGAGTCGTCGCAGGCCCTCCCCAGCGTCTCCTTAGGCAGACAAATGCAAATCTGCCCCAAATGCACCGTGTGCAAACCAGAAAAAGTCGCGTCCTGGCCGTTTCTCTAACGGAGACTATGAATAATCAGCATGCCATTACCTTTTACTTTTTACGTCTGTGATTCTTATTACGTGTCCTATGAATCTGGACCAAACGGACAAGCTGTATTAGATTAAAAGTCCGCTAGGCACGTCATCCCTGATTTTTTTTCACGATGCTCTACCAGTGATTCTGGCCCCATTCTTCAGACCCAGCAGAAGGCTTGCAACCGCTCTCCAAGTGCCCCACTGTCCTTGTACCTGCTCGGACCTGGGCAGCTACGCTGGGAGAAGCACAGGCCCTGAGATCTCAGCTCCTCTAAGTACTTGGGAGAAAGAGCTGCCTTGAACATGCAAGCCCTCTGGTATCTATGGGGTCTGTCCTTAAATTTTAAAGCCCAAACACTCTACTTCTTACCCTGGGCTATCAATCGGTCCTGAGGTCTATCTTTCCCAACTTCAATACAGCACCCCCATCCCCCCAAGCACGCCACCCTCTTGGTGTCCCTGGGAAGGGGGCTGCTTGGTCACATCCAATTGCAGCAAATGCCAATGCAGTGCTGTCTTCATGCGGGCTACCTGAGTCCCTCTACAAGCCTCAGTGGCTTGCAGGGTTATTGTACCATTTCTCAGGTGGAAAAACTGAGGAGCAGAGGAAAACAGCCCACCCACAATGACAAGGCCTGTAAGAGGCAGGTGGGGCCGAAGTCCCGTCTCACAAAGCAGTCCTAGCATCCTGGTTTCTCAGTAGGGGCCTGATGTTTTTTCTACCGAGGGGGCACTGTGGTGCAGTGGATCATGCTGCTGCCTGGGATGCCTGCACCCTACATCGGAGTGCAGATTCGAGTCCCAACTCTTGCCTTTGATATTTAAAGGGAGCCTCATGGCCTACATGCGCATGGTGGGGTCTGCAGCTGGCCACAGGCTGAGGGACAGTCACCAAGGTGGACATACACAGCCCACACAGGCCAAGGCTGTTTGGGGCCTGTGATACTTTTGATGAAGCGGCAGGGGCACTTTGTACAAATGGCTCCCGGGGCTCTGTAGGTGGCGAGTGTGCAGGGTCACACATGGAGGCCGTGAGGACCCAGAGTCGTTCAAACACGAGGTGGCCCAGGGTCACGGCACACGCAAGGGGCAGGAACCACAGGGCTGGGTGGTGATGGGGAGCTGGCACCGCACCTGGTCTCCCTCTGGGGGCGTGAGGCTCACGCAGAGGGCTGGGGAGAGAGGAGGCACAGGCAGGCTCCAGCCCTCCCGCTCCGCGAAGCCTCAGCTCTGCGGGGCAGAGGTGCAATGGGAGAACAAGGAGATAGGGTGCAACAGAACAGGCAGCTCTGTAGGGAAGCCCTGCTGTTTCTCGGTCTCCTTGCGAAGCCCGACTTGCTAAGCACACACACGCTCTGCACTGGGAGCACGCTCACTGTGGTGGAAGCTCTGCCGTCACCCCGCTCCTGCACTGGGAGGGAGACCGCACGCGCTGGGCAGGTGCACGGCGACGGACACCTACCGCCCTTCAGGTCGGCAGACGCCCCCACGTACTGGAAGTTGTCCATGTTAATGACGTCGATGATGGGAGACACGACCCGAGTCCTGTCCTGCAATGCGGATGCAGATGAGGTGAGAATGAGCAACCCCATCCGAGGCGTTCCCGCGAGGCAGTCATGACGGGGCACACCCTCAGCTCCATCACCCTGCGCCAGGGCGGGTGCCCACCTCCCCATCTCACAGATTTCACCCCTACACAGGCGGAGCTCGGCTGTTATCAGGCTGTGAGCTGTAGTCAGCCTTAGGAGTAGGCCCACGGCTAAAACAGCCACACGACAAGATCAGGAATGTACTTCTATGGCGAAATGTGGAGAGTGTGTGTGTGTGTGAGAGAGAGAGAGACAGACAGACAGACAGACAGTCAGTATTATTGCAGAAGGTAAACCAAATCAACCAGAGAATTCCAGATTCTAAATCTGCCTTAGCTGTGATTCTCCCAAGAAGGGATCTCCCCCTGCGATGGAGCCATGTCTCTGTGCTACCCCATTATCATCTCGTAAGTTTCTGAACAGGCTTCTGGGACCTCTTTAAATCTGAATGACTGATGCAGGTGAGAGACACTGCAACTCTGCCTCGTGCTGACAGTCAACAAAGAGCGACTGCTTTCCTGCAGCCATTCACAGAACCCCTGTTAGCCAGAAGAAAGGAAAACAACTCAGCAGCGCAATCAGCAGCGCTAAGAACACAATACCTCAAGGAGCACACCAAGAGAACATCATCAAGTGCCAGCGCCTCTTAGGTGGCCATTACAGGGAAAAGCCAGAAGGATGAAATCCGCCTGGCCTGGCCCAGCCTGGCCTGGTGCTGGAGTCAAGTACACTTTACGTCTCTTTTTGATAGGATTTGGATGAGTGAGGATTAACAGGCTCAGCCCCAGTGCTCCCTGGTTTAGGGGCGGCGTGTGAAGCTGCTCTGAGCACAGGAACGTGGGTTCTGCTTTCCTGGTGGAGGGAGAGGTGGCGGTGGTGGGAGGGATGGGTGCCAAGAGGGGTCCTTCTCCCATGCAGGTGTGGGGAGGGACGTGGGACAGAGAAACCTGCTCTGGCCGGATGTGTGAGGAAAGTTCACCGAATCCCACCTGTCAAATGGAGGTGCTACCTGCACTAAAGAGATCATATCAAAAGCACCTAGCATGGACTTCCAGTTCAGTGAAGAGCGGTGCACAGGAATTCTCGCAATTACTGGCAGCCTGTGGTTATTCAGTATTTCCTGACTCGCTGCCCGCCAGCTACCCCTGCTATGCTGCAGGCGGAAGACCGTGCTCATTTTCCATTTCTGGAGTAGTTTCATTAAGCTTGTTATCTCCCCCAAGGAAACACTTTCTTAGTAGGAAGGAAGCAAAGTCAATAAAACCAGTGGAAGGCACGAGAAATAATCCAAGGCCAAATGTGGCACTGGTGTGATGTTTCCAGAAAGGCAGAGGGTGCAGGAAGTGGAGGCAGGAAGCGGCAGCTGCACCTGGCCACGGTGTGGTCATCACCCTGCATTCTCCCCAGGAACCTGGGGCAGGCTGGGCTGACCCCTCCTCACAGGCCGTGGAGGGGCGGCGCCCACACTCCTCCCCCTCCCCGCCCCGCTCCCCCCTCAGACATGGGCATCAGAAGGCAGGAGCTGGATGCAGAGCTGCAGGCCAAGAAGGCAGAGGCTCCCAGGTGTAACAAAGGGGCTCCCACCCGCCTCCCTCAACTCTGTCTCGCAGCTGCCTGGTGACCGCTCCTCCTCCTCAGAAGACTCCCCCAGCCAACAAGGCGGTCAAAGGAACGCTCAAAGGCATCAAGAAACCCACAGGCAGCTCGCTGCCCCTCAGCCTCCCCCAGGCCCCCGCCCCGCCCCTCCCAGGCACCTCCCACCTGCTGGGCCCGCCGGGCCTCACCTCTGCCACCCTCTCCAGGAGCGGCTCCAGCCAGTGCTCGTTGCACTCACAGTGGCTGTCCAGGAAGGTCAGGACCTTGGCTTGGGCGGCATCGGCCCCGCGGACTCGCGAGCGCATCAGGCCTGCGGGTGTGAGTTGCGAAGTGCATCAGGGGAGAGACCGCGGCAGGGAGAAGAGCAGGCCCGGCCCGCAGGGCAGCTCACCGCCAGCTTGGCGGGCAGGGTCAACACTGCCCTGAGGTCACCAAGACAGCGCTCTGGGAGGAGCTCTCAAAACAGCAGTTACTCAGGTGACGGGAAGACGGCTTCCTTGGAACGGCTGTCCTCCGAGAAAGGCCTTTGTGGACTGCAGTCTCCCACGTGGCACGCTCAAAGCCACTTTTCTTCTGGCACAGCAACAGACTCTCCTGAATAACTGGGCTCAGGGAGGTGTCCCCCACACATGTCCAGTGCTAATGGTGCTGCCTTTCGTGGTGGCAACATCAGCAAGAGGCCACGAATGTCTGCCTTCTAAGACTCGTCACAGACAAATAACGTACATGGCGAAACCTGGTTGTCTGGCTTTTACGCAAAATTACACTATACTGTCTACATTATAAATATAAACTATGTATTTGTGATCTGTTAATAACACACATTTTCCTTCTGACGCACAGTTTTATTATAAACAGTACACTCATTCGTGGAAACTGTCACCGACGGCTTTGGCTGACTGCTGGGCTATGCGGAGGGAGACAATGTGGCGCCTCACAACCAGTGAGGGCACGTGATTTAAGTTTCTTTGTGCATGGTCAAAACTGATTCTCAACGATTCTTACATAGCTGCATGCTAAGGCAGGGAGAAAATGAGAGATTCCTAATTCTGGTAACAGTAAAGTTGGTTGCTTGCATTGAGCAAACCCTTGCTCTGACAACAATGATAAAATCCAACTAAACTATTAAAACAAAGCAAACAAACAACTCAAAGTGTTGGAGAGAAGCCTGAAGCCCTCAAAAGCTAGAGGGGTTCCAACCTTTGAAACACGAAGATAACATGGAGTGAGAGCTCTCTCTCTATGCTGTTCCCTTAAAGACATTCTCCAATCCCCTGCAATGTAGTCTTCTTTGGTGTGGGGTCAGAGGACAGAGCTTAGGGCTTCTAGAGTGGTTAGAAACTGAAGGAGGGGATCACACAGAGGAAGCAAGCCCCGAATCTGGTGATACCCTTTCCTTAAATCCTTGGCTGACTCCTCACTCTCTAAGGAGTCCACAAAAAGCATCAGTTAGAAGACAAGAAAAGATCAAGATACCAGCTGTTCTCTACTGCACTGGACACAGAGTTTGGAATTTGAGTTCTGCCAAGGTAAAAGGATTTGGTAAACATTTCAGTTCTTCCACAGAAACTCCAAGAGCAATCAGCCTGTCTCAGGAATAGAGAACTTGCCCCAGACATACTCATCATAGCAAAGTACAAAGACAGGTCTACACAACTGCAGAGTCAGTCATCAGCCAGCAATTTAACTGGCCAGTGTAACAAAGACAAGGAGCATAATCCAGCTTCTTAACCACAAAAAATCTATATAATGCCCATCATAAAGTAAAAAGTCACTGGGCATGAGAAAAAAACGGAAAATGTGGTCTATAACCAAAACAAAAAGTAAATAAACTCACCCTAAGATGACCCAGATGTGGAATCAGCAGACGAAGATTTAACAGCAGATATTATAACCACGCTAAGAAACTCAAAGAAGTGGTGGTTTTAAAGAGTGAACACAGGGAGAATTGAGAGGCAAATGGCAACCCTAAGATGGAACCAGATGGGTTTTCCAAAGCTGAAAAAATGAAATTATTTGAAATGAAAAATTCACTGACTGATCTTAATAGCAGATTGGAGATGGCAGAAAGACCAGTGAACTTGAAGACTGATCAATAGGAATAAATCTATCTGATGAACAGGGAGAAAAAATATTAAAGAAAAAAAATTTAAGGAGCTGGTGCTGTGGCGCAGCAGGTAAAGCCACTGTGTGCAGCACCGGCAACCCATATGGGTGCCAATTCGAGTCCTGGCTGCTCCACTTCCAATCCGACTCTCTGCTATGGCCTGGGAAAGCAGCAGAAGATGGCCCGAGTCCTTGGGACCCTGCACCTGTGAGAGAGACCCAAAGGAAGCTCCTTGCTCCTGGCTTCAGATTGGCCCAGCTCCAGCCATTGTAGCCACTGGGGAGTGAATGAGCAGATAGAAGCTCTCTCTCGCTCGCTCGCTCTCTCTCTCTCTCTCTCTCCATCTCTCTCCATCTCTCTGCCTCTGCCTCTCTGTAACTCTACCTCTCAAATAAACAAATAAATCTTCAAAAAAAAATTTTAAGTGTCCTATGGGACAGTATCAAGTGGTAATAATACAGGCACAAATGGAGTCCAAGAATAAGGCTGAAAAAAATACATGAAGAAATAAATGGCCAAAAATTTCCCAAACTTGGTGGAAAATGTCAATCTTACAAACTCAGGGGGATCAACAAATCTGAAACAGGATAAGAATAAGGGAAACTAAGCTTAGGTACATTATAGACAAAACAAAGATGAAGAGAATCTGAGGGCCGGTGCTGTGGCATAGCAGGTTAAATCCCTGGCCTGCAGTGCCGGCATCCCACGTGGGCGCCAATTCAAGTCTCAGCTGCTCCGCTTCCAATCCAGCTCCCTGCTAATGCACCTGGGAAGGCAGCAGAAGACAGCCCAAGTCTTTGGGTCCCTGCACCCACATGGGAGACCAGGAAGAAGCTCTTGGCTCCTGGCATCATATCGGCTCAGCTCCAGCCATTGCGGCCGTTTGGGGAGTGAACTAGCTGATGGAAGATCTCTCTATATATATTCTCTTTCAAATAAATAAAATAAATATGTCTTTAAAAAAATAAGAGAATCTGGAAAGCAGCCAGAGAACATGACCTGTAATATACAAGGGAGCACAATATGAATGATGTCTACATCTAGACAGGGAAATCCAAGACAGATACTGGAACAAGCTTTTTTAAAGTGCTGAAAGAAAAAGTAATGGTCAACTCAGACTTCCTCAATAATGAAGGATAAAGAAAGACAGAAGAGCTGAGAACTGCTGCTGCCTACCAGATAGTTTTTTGTTTGTTTGTTTGTTTGTTTTTGTTTTTGTTTGTTTTTTTGACAGGCAGAGTTAGTGAGAGAGAGAGAGAGAGAGAGACAGAGAGAAAGGTCTTCCCTCCATTGGTTCACTCCCCAAATGGCCACTACGGCCAATGCTGAGCTGATCTGAAGCCAGGAGCCAGGTGCTTCTTCCTGGTCTCCCATGCAGGTGCAGGGGCCCAAGCACTTGGGCCATCCTCCACTGCCCTCCTGGGCCACAGCAGAGAGCTGGACTGGAAGAGGAACAACCGGGACTAGAACCTGGTGCCTATATGGGATGGCGGAGCTGCAAGCAGGAGACTAACCAAGTGAGCCATGGCGCCGGCCTCTACAAGACAGTTCTAAAGGAAATTGTTTGGGCTAAAGGGAAATGACATTAGATGGAAGCTTGAGTCTATGGAAAGAAGTGAAGAAATTGAGAGTGAACAGTTTGAGGGTAAGCTTAACTGTCTTTACACAGTCTTGTCTTAGCTTTTAAACTGATTATCTGAAGCAGAAATTTAACACTGTCTTGTGAGGCCTAAGACATGTAGAAGGCAAATATGATAACAACAGTACACAGGAGAGGGAACAGAACTGAACTCTTGCAAGGTTCTTACATTTTATGTAATGTAGGATGGCACTGACTCTAAGCAACTCAGCTATAAATTTAGAAAGTACGCTTTGGGGGCTGGCATCCACCACCTGTTACACTGGCATCCAATATTGGGACACTGATTGGAGTCTGCTGCTCTACTTGTGACCCAGCTCCCTGCTAATGCAACTGGGAAGGCAGTGGATGATGGCCCAAGTGCTTGGAACCGTCCTGCCACTTGGGAGACCCAAATGGAACTCCTGGCTCCTGGCTTCAGCCTGGCTCAGCCCTGGCTGTTGTGGCTATTTGGGAAGCAAACCCGCAGCTGGAAGACCTTTCTCTGTCCTTCCTTCTGTCTTTGGTGCTGTGTCTTTCAAGTAAATAAATGAATGAACCTTAAAAAACGTCTGCTGTAATCTCAGCACAACCACTAAAAAATAATAAGTATAGCTAAGAAACGCCAAGAAAGATTAAAATGCAATACTTAAAAAAACTAATCCAAAAGAAGGCAAGAAAAGTAGAGACAGAGAAATAAAAAGGAAAAAGCACACGAGAGGAGACAGCACTGTGGTGCAGCAGATTAAGTCGCCTTTTGCGAGGCCAGCATCCCGTGCCAGAGTGCTGGTTCGAGTCCCAGCTGCTCCACTTCTGATCTAGTTCCCTGCTAATGTGGTTGGGAAGGCAACAGAAAATATCCCGAGTTCTTGGGCCCCTGCCATGCACCTGGGAGGCCCAAATGGAGTTCCAGGCTCCTGGCTTCCGTCTCACACAGCCCTGGCTGTTGTGGCCATTTGGGGAGTGAACCAGTAGACAGATGATCTCTGTTTCTCTCTCTTTCTCTCTGCCAAATAAATAAATCTAAGACAACTACATGCGACTAATGTAGAATAAAACAGTAGATCCAAATCTAGCTAGACCAATAATGACATCACATGGAAACAGAATGAACACTCCAATTTAAAAGTAAAGATTGTTATAGTGGTTTAAAAAAAAAAGGGCAAGATTTGCTATAATCTGTCTATAAGAGACACAGATTTAAAAGGATAGAAACGGATACAAACACAAAGCATAAGGAAACTGGTATAGCTTAATTTATATTGGACAGAGTAGACTTCAAGACATGCATTATTACCAGAGGCAGAGAGGTATTCCATTTTTGAACAGGATAAATTCATCAGGAAGATATAATATTCATAAATGTGTACATACATAGTAGCCTCCAAACATATAGATGAAAAGCTGTCGGTGTAATGGGAAAAAAAAACAAATCCTCCGCCAAGGTTGGAGATGTTAACAATCTTCCTTCAGTAACTGATACAGAGTAGACCAAGAAAGGTTGCTGAGCTCTGAAACAGCTGAATATCACTGACCACTCTGATGTAACATTTATATAGAGACCATGAGGCTGGACCCTGCAGAACTTGTCAAACACAGCTGTAGCCACAGATAGACTGGAAGTCTTGCAGAGTATATTCTCTGAAAATACGGAATTAAGTTAGAAATCAATAACCAAAAGACGAGGCTTGCACTGTGGCATAGCAGATAAAGCTGCCGCCTGCAGTGCCGGCATCCCATATAGCTGCCAGTTTGAGTCTTGGCTGCTGCACTTCCAATCCAGCTTTCTGCTATGGGCCTAGGAAAGCACTAGAAAATGGCCCAAGTCCTTGGGCCACTGCACTCGCATGGGAGACCTGCCTGGAGGAAGCTTCTGGCTCCTGGCTTCGGATCAGCCCGGCTCAGGCTGTTGCAGCCATCTGGGGAGTGAACCAGGGGATGGAAGACCTCTCTCTCTCTCTCTCTGCCTCTCTGTAACTCTGCCTTTCAAATAAATAAATAGATCTTAAAAAAAAAATAACCAAAAGACACCTTTAAAAACGCAAATATCTGGAATATAAAAAACATAATCATTGGGTCAAAGAAGAAATCATAAAGGAAACTAGAAAATATGTCAGCACTACTGAGCCTAAGGCTGCCCCTCCACTACTTCAGTGTTGTGTACAACTGACTGCTTCTGTCATCTAGCAGCATCATGAGCACCTATGTGTTACACACATAAGATTGACACACACACACGTATACAAGTACAGATGTATGTGTGAGTGTGAACATGTATCCACGTATTCTCTCACTCACACTTCCTCCATAGTCTGGTCCCCCATAACCTTTTCTCTTCTTCCTTCTCAAAACAACGTATCAGTATGAGTTCTTACCCAAATAAACATCCCAATCTCAAGCAATGAGAAGCTGGCATCTAGAAGTATTGCCTTGATTTCTAAGCAGGTTAAAGGCCAGCAAATGACTAATCACGTATAAATTGCCCACACGAAACAGAATTCTCTCTCTTCTCTGTTTCTTCTTCTTCCTCTTGTTTCTTCTTTGGTCTGTGCTACCCTGTTCTCTTTTTAGGTGATGGGATGGGATTAAATTCATTAAGTTATTGTATGGGTTGTTTAGGGGGTAAAAATAGTGCAACAAATCACAAGATTTCTGATGCATTCCAGATTTGGAGGACTCAGACGAGTCCACCAACAGGACTCTTGTAGGGGCAAGGCCTACCCTACTTGGCGAATGTCTGGGTTCATGACCTTAGTTGGTTAAAATACAGTGCTGGCTGCGTTGCTCTAACAGGCTCAGTCACCGTGTTGCCTGAGTAGATTCTTGGCTCCAGCTGGACCACCCAGAGGACTAGGAGAGTCTGCACTGATCAAGAATACAGCCAGCAGGCCCAGGTCAGCGGGGTCATCCTCAAATAGCCTAAGTGGCATAGGTTTCAAAGCTCTGCCATTTCTTTATGTGGAAAGAGTTCTCAGGCTGCAGTGGAGTCTAAATTCCAGCCACGAGGCTCTCTAACAGCACCTGGTGCTCTAGATGTTAATTACACTGTGATTAGAGCTTCCTTTCCAGGCACTCCAAAATCCTACTCTTCCCCCTTTGGCGCTTCTCTTATGACTGCCAACAAAGTAGACTCCACGAGCTCAGCTCTGGCACAAACTAGACTGACAGCCGGTTCAGAGGCTGGCATTTGCAAGATCGCAGAAGCATATAATTGCTGTACTCTCTCTCAGTTTTGGATGGTTCACCTTCATCAGGCTGTCAAACTTGAATCCCAGCTATTTTATCAGATGCCTGGGGCATGGAGTCATTAAACTTCTCATTGCTAAATCTCTGTTTTTGTTCTAAACTCGCGTACTCAAGGGACTGATACGATTTCTTAGCTCGTGAAATAGAGAGAAGCCAATTTTCTAAATATGTAAATAAAAATGTAATCTGAACTCTGGTCCTAATAGACAATCTCAATTAGTTAAGCATTTAATATCTTTCCTGTGTTTGCTGGGAGAGAGCTCCCCAGTGGTTCTAGTAGACAGAGAGGGACAGTCAAGAAGACTAGACAATCAATCGCTCTTTTTCAGTCGAAGCTCTTCTTTATGACTGGACTTGGGAAAAGAAAAATCAGCATTCAACCGTCTTGGTACTGAATTCAGAAGTGAGTCTTACCTTCTCGCCGATCATTTCTAAGAACTCGCACTTTCTCAATTTTTCCCAAGAGAGCCCCGTCCTCAGCTGGGAAGAGAAAAGCTGTTTGAGTCTCCAGTGCACAGAGGGCCCTGCCTCCCAGCACAGCGATCCCCAGCCCTCTAAGGCCTGAACACCTCCTTGGGGGCCCCAAGAGGCGCCTCTTCTTTCTGGCTCCCTGATCCCTGGCCTGTTCGCTCTTCAACGGCACTCCCAACCCTGCGACGGGATGGGAAGGCGGGTGCTGGGAGGCGCCCGGGCGGCTGTGCGGGGCTCAGTACTTACGATCGTTGCTGTAGTCATCCACCAAGATGATTTCTTTTATGAGGTGGGGTGGACTTTTCTTAAGCACACTGAGAAAAGACAAAAAGACGCAGGTTGTGGGAATACAACTTGGAGTAGGGAATGCTTGTAACTTGGCTGGGAGAGTCAGCTGACAGAGTCTGCAGCCCCCTCTGACCACCCCGGCTGGACTGTGCCTGGGACCCAGCTGGGTCCGGCATCCTTGACAGAGAACAGCGCCCGTCAGGTGAGCCGGCCTCACCTGACCACCGTCCTCAGCAGAGCCGACCTGGCTTCATTGTGAAACGTGATCACCACGCTGGTGGCCGGCAGGTCTACCCGCCACTGCTTGCGCTGACACCTGCAGGGAGAGAAAGATGGCCCAGACTAGCCTCAGCCGGTTTCACTCTTCGAGAGAACAGGTGCACTGAACTGCCTGGACGGACACACTGTGATTAACTTGTTTTCTGCAGTCACTGGCCGGCTCTGAGACGGAGCGCCAGCGGGACAGAAGGAAACGGAAAAACACAATCAGAGCTATGCTTTAAGGAGATGGAAGATTTTGGCAAAGAGTAACATATTGAGAACATCTTTTTCACATGTTTGTAAAAAGCGTGTTTTAAAACAGAGCGATCTCATCTCGATTTGCATGAGATACACCTCGAGAGATGTGCTTTTCCCTGCTCATGGCAGTTACTTCCGTGGGGCAGGACCAACTGTGTGCCGCTGCTCTTTTCTGTTCTACTACAACAAGCAGGTGGTGCTCTGGTGATATCTGGAACCTGGCTCTCATCGAGAATGACGGACCCACTGTCTGCCCCCCCTTACGCTGGGCAGCAGAGACACGCGCCCGTCACCTTGTTGGGCCGTCTCCCAAAGGCCCAAGCGACGGTGGTGCAGGCTGCCAGCGACGGGGACCGGGGCCGTCAGTGCTCTCTTGTCCTTTAAGCAGGACTCAAAGAGCCCTGGGGCTACCCCTGACCGCAGAAATCGACTGAGGGGCCAGGTGCACGGAGTACAGGCAGATTTCAACACCATGCTTCTCAAGTCTGGGCTCTACAGACACAGGACTGGAAGAGCGCTGTGCGGCTACTTTAAAAGCAGGGCTCCTAACAGTGCCGTGGCACCATACACTCAAGTATACAGGAAAAGGCGGGCTCAGGCTCTGCGGAATCCAGCACAAGGCACCCTTGAAGGCAGCGCATGTGGCCCTGAAGAAGTAATGTGCCTGAGACTCCTGGGAGAGCTCGGGGCTGGTGACGGTCCCCAGCGACCGTGAAACCAGAGTTGCTCGATTGGTGGCGCAGTGAACACTAGCCTGGCAAAGGGAAGCGGGCGGCAAGAGCGACTTCGGAGGCTGGGAGGAGGAACAGGCCTTGGCAGTGAGGCAGCAGTGGGGACCTGCTCACGCTGATGATGGGCAGAACGTTCCTGCAGCCCCCGCAGGTGAGCCCACGCCACTGGCCTTGCAGAGTGGAGAAACCTTCCACGCACAAGACCAGTACGTTCAAATACAAAAACAGGCTTTTAGTTCTCAACGCAGTCTACCGTGGCTGCGAATTCTCTGCTCCCAGAACTGTCTTAAACAGGAAACCAGGGGAAAGCTCAGAAGACTTTTGACCGCATCTAAGTGGTTAAGGACTGAAGCGGCTGCTGGACACTGACCAGCGACTCCACCTGAAAGGGACGCAACGCCCCTTCAGGGAAGATGTTCCAGACAGCCACTGACCCTCGTGACCCGGCAAATCGCGCCAGAGGAGCAAGTTTGGAAAAGGAGCAAGGAAGGCGGTACAATCAAAAAGCAATCAGGCCAGAAGCACAGAATGGGCTTCTTTTGTTGATTTCCGCTATTGCGGTGAGGCCTGCTTTAATTAATCACAAGACAACTGCGGAACACTGCGGCCCGGGGGGCGGAATGCAGGCTGGAATTCGTACCTCGCACCTCCTTAGACCTCCTGCACTAAGCATTTGCTGACAAGCTGACAGATAGGCCAGTGTTTTTTTTCAATGTGGAGAATGAGCAGATTGTCAGATTAAGGAAGTGAGACGCTGCAAGGCTTCAGCTGTAAACAAATTATGGAATAATGTCATTCCCAAGAACCCAATCTGTGATGCTAATGAAATAAGGACTTTGCGTTGTGGGGGAGTCACCTCCTCTGCAATTAGGCTCCACTTAACGCAGCGGGAGCGCTGAGCTGCGCAGACCAGCGCTCCATGACTGACTGAAAGCCGGCTTCTGCAGCCACAGGAGAATCGGAAAAGAGACACAAGGCGGCGTTTTTCATTCTCAAATCACAGTGAACTGAAGCAACGCGATCATGTCCTGTTCTCTCATTTTCGTTTTCGCTGCGGGAAGCCTCATCTTCCGTGAGCACTTGGAAGTCTCACAGAGCCCTGGAGACATTTTTCAGAACATGCAAGGGTGGTAGCATTTGCATCATTTTATTAAAATTCCTCTGCATATTGACAGGCGGGAAGATTTGCTAGGAATAGGCAATCAGCAAACTTAACAGGGATCCTATTTTTAAGGCAAAGACGGATAACAAGTAGAAACAGAGAAAGATTTGACACTCATGAGTTAGAGAGGAGAGAGAGAGAGCGCATGCTAGCGTGTGTGTGTGTGTGTGTGTGTGTGTGCAGACCATAAATCTTCACAATGAGCCAAGAAAGGAGGATGGGCTTGAGGAATTTCATGAATAAGAAATGAATTCTGCATTTAAGGAGCCACAAGCCCAGTCAGAGGCAGTGGAAGAAAAGACTCAACAGGGAGCTGGCTGCGGGGCACTGCCTGCCTGGCTGTTTTTGGGGCCAGAGTAGGACTGTAGTTTATTTGAAGTCAGCAGCGGGAGGAGCCCGTGGTGGGTCTGTGCTGTGACACTGGTGACACTGGGCCTGCCTCTAAGAGCTCCAGCTCACCTCTGTTTCCCGGCATCTGGTACTGAAGTGGTACTGGAGAGTATAAACACCAGATACAGATTTTCTTTTAATCCTCAACTTGGTGGTAAAGTGCCCTGAGGTTAAAGGCTATCGAGATCTGACCTCTTGATTGGCTTGCAACAGGAAAAATCCTGGTGCATCCCGAGTGGCGGCAGCCGGGGTGGGAGAACGGACGCACTTGGGGCAGACCTGACTTTGGCCCAGGTGTCTCTGGGGAGGCCCATGAAGAAAGCACAGGATCAAGTCTAAGCCCTTTAGACTGGGAAGCCAGGGCTTCTGTTAGGGCAGAAGGCTGTTTCCTGGTGCGGAGGAACACAGAAGCATGCCTCCTCTCGGCCCTGGCCCTGTGCCGTTCCCAGCCTCACTGCCCCGCTTCAGTGGTTTCTTGCAAAGGGCCCGTGCTAACCTTGGTTACTCCTGTGTGATCTCAGACAACGGCCCTTGCGATTTCCCAGTCTCTCGCGATTCCTGGGAAGGTTGAAGAAACAGGTTAATGCCAAAGGATTTTGCAAAACAGAAAGGTCACTGCAATAAATCCAAGATCCCACTTCAGGTCAGGCAGATGCAAGGTGACTACCCTCAGGGCACAAGGTTTGCAGTGGGCTCTCTCTAGTACCTTGGGAGATGAGGCCAGTGACAAGGGGTCCACAGGGGTACCGAGAGGAACGCCCAACTTAAGGGCCTTAAAAAGGAGCTCAAAGATTGGAATGGTAGATGGAGAAACACACCAGGTTTAGGGCTCAAGGATTTCTGCAGGGACTGGGGAGAGGATGTGGCCAACAGCAGGTCTACACTTCCTGTGAGATGGACATGCATACCAAGCGGAAGAGGGTCACAGGGAAGAACAGCCCTGGATAAACACGCCCCATCTATCTCCCCGCAGTGCCTCTTAGACTCTTGCTTAGGGTGTGAGTCCACGTTCTGCAGCTGTAACTGAATACCTGCGAGTAGGGCTCATTTACCAACGACTGGGTGCGGGGGTCCTGCAGGCTGAGAAGCCCTGGAGCACAGTGGCAAGCACCTGGTGAGGGCCTTCCCGCTGCTTCCTAACATGGTGGGTCAGGAGAGGACTGTATGACAGGCCCGCCTGCTCCCAGGACAGTGGCACTAATCCATTCATGGGGGCAGAGCCCTCACGACCTCAGTGCTTCCTGAGGGCCCCAACACTGGCACGATGGTGATCCAACTATGACGTGAATTTTGTGGGAAGCCATCAGATCACAGTGATCGGTCATTAAGCATTTGTTTATGTTCACACGGGTGCATTTTTATTACAGGAAAGATGGGAAAGGGACATACTTTAAGACAAAAAAGGAATTTTGAAAACAACACTGGGGCTCCGTGGGCATCTGTGTTACACAGCCCCAGGAGTGTGCCTGGTCCATCTCTGCATCCCTTCCTTAGATGGATGCACTCTGATTAGGATTCGGAGTTCCACGCGGGAGCAAATGTGCTGGCCACACAGTCTCAGACCGTCAGCATCCACACCAGCTACCCGCAGGCAGGCGTTCCAGCCCCGGCCCAGCCTCCCACCAGGATCGCCTAGGGCATTTCCAGGCTCGGATTCCTCTGACATAGACTTCTCTTTACAAGTGATCAAACCGGCATTCTGCAGTGACTTCATCTGTGAACTGAGTTTGAGTCTGTCCCTGAGAGACAAATCAATCTTGGATTTGCTGGCAAAAGAACAAAGCAAAGCACTATGGGGGGGAGGGGGAGGTAAATAATAAACAAACAAAACCAACAAAGTTTCTGGGTTTGCAAAGCTAAGGGTCAAGTCTGGGACCACTGGACATTCCCCAAGGCAGCAGGCTCTGCGTGGCCTCTCCGGAGGCCACAACGAACACTACCATGTGGGTACCTATGAACTATTTCAAACACAATACAGAGCAGTCACACAAGCCCCCACACAGCTCTACCCAATCGTAACATTTTGCAGATTGGCATCTGATTCAGTTGTGTAATGTGAAATGACCCACAGCAGGTAACCACTACCAGTCCCTCTGTGTCCCAGTCCACTGCAACACCCAGCAGAGGGAACCCCTGCCCGGAACCTGGCGCTTCATTACTCCCAGGTGTGTTTTAAATGAACGGCACGTGCCCACACTCCCAGCAGATAGCCTGCGGCATTCTGTACCTATTCACGCTCCCACGGGTGGCGCTGCGCTGGGACCCGCGCCTGCTGTGGCACACAGAGAGCTCTCAGTCATTCACGCTCCCTGCTGTCCGGCTTCACCCTGGAGGACACCGCGCACGCCCTTCTCTGCTGACTGCTGATTTCTGTTAACAACAAGGAGCCAGTGGAGCCCGCCTTTCCACCCACCTGAGAACCGGCCTGCACGGGGGACCACTGGGCACAGCTCGGGCCCCTGAATGCCACGCGCCGAGGACGGGGCTGTGCTTCCACCTCCACCACGTGTGTGA